TACTTTCTTATTCAATGTAAACAAAATGCTAATGGCCTGCTGTTGCCTATATACTTGTGTTAGTTACGTCACATCATGTTGTGATGCTGTAAAAAAACATTATTAAAGTTGTTTAGTCTGACTGGCTTCTGTACATTTGTGACATTCAGGCAAAATAATCATGAAGTGAGGGTGGGTCTAATTCAAAAAACTTGGAAGTTTCATTTCCATACAGGCATGTAAGTGCATTTCTCAGAATTGCACAGACAATATACATCTTGCCAATACTACTCAAGCGTATTTTAAGATTTTTTTTGAAGTCTATGAATTTAAAGTAGTTCAATATGTCCCCAAATAGCCATTCAACGGATTCCCTCACAGAACTCATTCTGGCATTGTACTCTTGCATCTGGGGTGTTAAAACAGCATTTCTGAATGGTTGTTGGAGTTGCACTCTGTGCGGGTAAGCTGGATCACCATATAAGCACATTAGGTGGCCATGGGGGGAAACTGCATGGTGCTGGAGATCTTGCAGCAAGCCTGATTCAGCTAACATAGCTGCATCATGTCTTCTACCTTCTGAAAATGAAAGGTTTAGAAAACAATTAGATGCGTGGACAATGGTTGTGACCTTGTGGTGCATACTCAGTAGAGAACCTGATGGAAATTTAAGTTCTTTGCAAAAGAATTCATTCAGTATTCTAATCTGCAAAATTATATCTCTGAAGAGATCAATCACCTCCACTTGATGGGACTTTTTCAGTACTTGATTCCTGATTTTTACCCGTTTTGACCTTTTTTTCAGGGGTCGGTTCCTGAAAGGTGGAATAACTCTATTCCAGGGATAAGTCTGCCTTATTCCAGTCATAACTTTATCCCAGGACAAAGTTATGACTGGAATAAGACAGTTTTATCCCTGGATAGTGTTGTTCCACCTTTCAGGAACCGTCTTTTGAATTTTTTGCCATCTTAAGTTTTTTTATTTTCTTCATCTTTCTATTTATTTTTCAGGGTTATTTTTAATGAACAATTTTAAACTGAAGTGACTACCATGCATAAATAATTCCATACATTATTATAATTATTATTACCTATTGGGCCATATAGGTTTCCTATTAACCCATTCGGTAGAGCAACAGATTGAAATTTTAATGCATGGACTCTCTTGTGTCCATTGTATACAGCCCTCTGGTGCTGTCCTGGGCGACTTATTGATCGAACCGTGCCATCGACAAAACCAAAACAGTTGTCCAAGGGAGAGCCTTTAGCTGAAATTACGTCTGCATATTGCTGTAAATGGTTGGGGTCCATAACTTGATTGTTCCACTGAGTTAGTCTGTGGCCATGTCTGTCATAGACATAATCGAGAACAGTATTTGTTATCATGCTTAAAACCGGAACTGGCCTTGCAAATCTGTGCACCATATCACTGTATCGACAGGGGTAAGCCAGTCGCTTCAGTAGCATACATAGCCCTTCTATGCCATCGCAAACGGAACGCTGTGGGCACTGGAATGTTGGGGGAATCAATAGCCTGTCTGCCAGCAAGGGAATGTGCCATTTCTCGACTCGAAACTCGGTATAACACTCAGCAGGATCCATTTCCTCCAAATCGAACGACGCGTACGAGTTGTAAGAAAAATCCGGATTCTTCGACTGATAAAAGTGATAGAGAAGGCAGAATTCTTCGTCATCAAACATGTCGTGGGCATATCCAACAAAAACAAAATCCCTGATGTCTTTAAACGACGACATAACTAAAACCACCACTTGTTGAGCCTCACTTGTTGACGTCTTCGTCTTTGTACAAGACGCGGGTGCTTAACTTTCAATTTTCGCGCCGAAAACGATGTTCTCGTCCCAGTGTCCTAGAGCATGCCACGTCATAATTTCGTTCTCGTTTTCGTCCTCGACGAAGCTGCTTAAGGTCCCTATTGTTTTCCCTCCTCCACCACCACCACCACCACCACCACATTTCTATTGTTTTCCCTCCACCACCACCACCACCACCACCACATTTCTATTGTTTTCCCTCCACCACCACCACCACACGACCTTATCTTAATGAGATCCCTGCGCATTTTAATCATGACATCAAGACAATACCCTATGACGTCACCTAGATAATTTATTCCTGCACACGCTAATGAGATTCCTGCGCAAAAAAGACGACCTTAAAGTAACTAGAAATCCTAATCCAACTAAAAATAGCACATGACCTTATGTTAATGGCATCCCTACGCATTTTATTCATGAGATCAAGAGAAAAGGTTATGACGTCATTGGCGTTAATTTATTCCTGCCCAAAAAAACGGAGTAACTGGTGCGCCCTATACTACTACTGTTAATGTCAGTTTCTACAACGTCACGGAAACTGTTACATCGAGCCCTTTGACTTTACAAGTAAAGAGTTACCTTTCCAAAACACCCTTTGTCTGGCAAATTCTAAAAAAACTGGGTCGAGTCATCTTAATATCTTGCAACTTCTAGCACCGTATCCGAACCGTGCCAAAGGGGAAAGTGACTAGTGCATACTATTTTTACACTGCTTTCTATTCCAGAATTTTGTCATGTTTGTGTATACTCTCGACGGTGTATAAAGACTTTGCGGCTATAAAGTTGTTTGCTCAATTCACAAGCACACCGGGTTCGAATGCGCTGATACTGTTTCTTCCAACAAAAATATTCTTCGTATGCGGTGTCGTTGCCCGCAAGAAACCGAAGATACTCTGCAAGTTTCCTTGGAGAGGCAAAAGTTAAAGTTTTATTTCTTTCCAGAAAAGCGTTTATATTCCCTTATGTTTATCACCGCAGTGTGCTTTTTGTTCCTTCTTAAGCTAAGATGGTCAAAACCGACAGGTATCTATGATTTTAAAATGTTTTGTTTCCGTCAGACGTATCTTAATCCTAGCTGTTTCGCCTAACGAACAATTAAAGACCACCTGTCATTGTCCTCGTTATGTTTATAACTCTAAGGCCCAGTTTAAAAGTTGATCTTTTCGTGTATTGAACCTAATCTCTTCAATCAAGTAGATGAAGAGATCGAAGTTTGAGTCAATAAAGTGCGACGTGTCTAATTTGGGTCGACCCATGAATTAAGATCGAGTGGCCAACACGGGATTTCGTGAGCGACATCGTTTCAAAGTGAAAAAACGTCGAACTTCTCATGTGCCGAACCTTATGCATAACTTACTAAAATTTATTTTCACTTGTAAGCATTTTAAACCATTGAACATCGTGAAAATGAATTAAGCCCGACTAGTCAAATTTGACGTCTGAATCAACTGTCGAACTAGCGTTATTTAGGTCTAAAAAGGGTAATTACATTCGGTACATGAAAAGATCGACCTTTGCACTGGGGCTAAATTAATCAGCTATACTGCAACAAATTTTACCACTTGCTAATAAGGCTACTAATGATGACTATTTAACTTCAAATATATTTCTTTTCCATCTGTTAATTTACAGTCTACGTGATGAGGGAATATTGCTTGAAATGATAGGAATTTTTAGATCCCTTCAATCCCTACTATTTCCATTCTTTTTATTCGCCTCTTTTTCGTATATAATGAAGGACGCATTAGGTTTCCAGACACTGATCGACAGCAAAGTTCCGGAACTCAAGAACCATTTGCTCTCAGATTTAGCAGCTATACTGTTCAAATGTCATATGAGACATCTGATGTACATGTATGTTGAATCAGCCAAATCCTTTCAGAATCAATTCATCTGTTTTTCACTCAACGCATGTCACTTAAAATTTGCCTGTTGGCTAATAATCAAGTGCATGATTTTTACAAAGCATCTTTAAGCTGAACTAATTTTCCACGGTACAAACAACAGCAAAATTTCTTAAAGATGAACCTAGTTTAGGAGATAAAACGACTTCAATGACACGGTCTTATCAGACCGACCCGGTTTTTAATTCTCCCAATATCTTTATACTAATTTTAGAGGCACCCAACGGCGTTAAATACAAAAGCACTTTTCAGGCTATCAAGAGTACTTTTAGATCTCTAAAATGCATTCTAAGCGGCGCTACAAAATTTTTATCTGTTCACTCATCCTAGGGGAACTTAAGTCTTTTCAAAATTACAAGGTCTTCAGTGTTATTTTTCCGGAATTTTAAGTGCAATTTAACGTTTTACGAAAGTGAAAATTTTTCTGATTCCTGACTCTCTATCACATTTTAGAATCCGAAAATTTTAGGTTTCCCTTTTGTAAGATTGTGTAACCTGGGTTGTAAAATATGAAAAATTAAACTGGAGAAAATAGTAGGGACTTTATTAGACTGAAACTTGTACATGAATGGAACGTTCACCTACTGAGAAATTTTAAGCCGTCCCGTAGCAAAAGAAGATTTTAGGCAATATTTGCTTATCCGAACAGATGTTTCACAGAAAACAGTCGTTGGGTGCCCCTTTAATTTTATCAAAGTCTAAAACCAGCTCCTCACTAACGACGAAAGCACAAGCTTAGGCATAAGCAAAATCCAAACATAAGTTAGGCCCGGTTCAGACGCCGCTCCACTCAAGTACCGAACCTAATTGAATTAGGCCCGACTTTGGAGCAACATTGGCGCACAGTAAAGACTAAGCCCGTTAATAGGGAGCTCAAGCAACAACGACGGCGACGGCTACGAAAACGTCACTTAAAAAGTGAATTCGCGCTGCTTCAAACTTTATCGCGCTTACTACATCTCGTTTACTTCGTTGGCAAATGTTTTTGGAGTTGAATTCTAAAAGACTGCATCAAAGTTCAGGAAAAGAAAAACATGGGGCACGTTGGCCAATTTTGCTTTCATCCTACCTTAGAGGTGAAAAATAATGTAACCACTGTTTAAAAAAATAGAGAGAAAAAAAATATTAAATTGTTAGTGACTGTTGCCACGTCTTTGAATTACTGATCGTAAAGTTTTAATTTCCCAAGTCACAATCGCCGTTTACAATCTCTTCTGATCGTCTTCTCTCAAGATGACCAACAGCTGGGATTCTTTGTTCCACTAAACTGGCAGATGCTAGAATATTTAACGCTAATGTGTTAACAGCGTGGCTCCTAAGGCGAAATCTCTGACAAAACCATCCCCCAATTAAACGTAAAACTTGCCTGTACTGTGGTATTCTCCAAGCGTAGAGAAACGGGTTCAATGCACAGCTAACACACAACAGCGGTACGGAGAGGGCTTTAGTAAGCAAAAACCCGGGCTCACTGCATTCACTGCTAAGCCCTTCATGGCAGCGTTCTTGTAAATTTGTCACGATTAGATACGGCAATAGAGATATGAAGAGCACAATGATAATTAAAACAACAGTAGAAATAATCTTTTTCTCCAACCTAATGTTTCGAAGAAAAATGCGTGACCGTCCGCCTGTGTTTGCTCGCACAAAAACAACGTTTCTTGAATAACGGCGAAATTCCTTGTAAGTCGCGGTGTATAGGGCACACATGATAGTCAATGGAATAGTCGTTTGAAGATGAAGATCAATTACGTGGAATACTTCCTTATTTTCATCCAAAGAATGAGAAGTTTCAAAGGTAATGCAGAAAATCCAGATTAAAGCGTTACAAACAATTGCTTTTCGCACTGTTATAACTCTTTTATACCTCACTGAAAGCTTGACAGCCAAAAATCTATCCAGCGATAGTGCAACTACTGTGAGAATTGATATCTTTGTGGTTACATGGCTGAAAATAAGAGCGGTTTCATAGAGTTTCTGCGGTTGGCCTCCGGAAGAGATGGTAAACATAGACGCAGCATACATTGACTGCACAAGACAGCCTCCCAGAAGATCACTTACAGAAAGACTAAGGATAAAGTACGTGGTCGCGCGAGCTCGAAAATAATTGTACGGATCTTTGAATACTGTAAATAGAAGAAGGCCGTTTGTTAAGGCTGCAAATAAACCAAATAGTGAGCTACAAATTCCTGCTACCAGTGCAAATGTCGCAGTCGGTAAACCCTCAACATGGTCATGTTCATCGACTTCTTCGCTCATAATTATAACAAAGTGAAGCACTCTATGCTTACGGGAGACACTCTTTAACTCACAGATCACTGCTTAAGACTAATGAATCGCCTTGGATGCATGAATAGTTAATTCGTCCTAGGGGAAAATAACGCCGATGATGGAAGTTGTTATTTTGCAGTACTTATGTCTTAATGACAAAAGTTATGTCCACATGACAGAGAAATAATCAAAATCTACCGCCACGAAATTAACAAGCACTGTCAGATAATGTCAACAAACTAACTGGTGAAGGCAAAATTTCATAACAAAATCTCAGTTTAAAATTGCGCTAATCATTTGGCCATCTCGCAAACGTTTAATGACGTTATTAATGAAGACTCAGAAATGCTATTCCGAAAAGATTGATTAGAAAATGTTCACTAATTCGAAAGCAGATGAATCGTTAAACAACAAAGAAAATTGGCTTTTGTTTGTTCAAAACATAGGATTTAAAACAACAACATCGGGTGCAGTGTGAGAAATTTGAATATTTCAGCGGAAACCCTGTATTCTTGTTTGCAGTTATCATTGTTAATCTTCGATGGTTGAAGAGCAAACTTACGCTTAAAATCGACGCAACAAAACGAGAGAATCTCTTTTGTTTTACGAAATGACCTGATGAAATAAGATACTTAGGAAGTATTTCTGTATAAAATGAAAAAGCCCTCTGCCAATTAACTCGTAACTAATGGATTAAAAAGGTCGTTAAATAGGCCTTCATGTCGGAAAAATAAAATCCAGAGCTTTTAAAAATATGACAAAGTTTTAAATCCGATTAAGACTAGAAATGAGATTGGAAATCAAATAAGAAAGTGAGCATGAAGATTGTCATTGAGTTTTCGCCGACTCTTTCCATTAACAATACTGCCTTAACAAATATTTGACCATATATTATTTTCACCTTCTTGTGATTACATTAACATCCGACACAGCTGAGACCAATAAATAATGATAGATCGTCTGGATATTTCGACTGACAGACAATATTCTTTGCAATTTTAGAAACTCTTATTGTACTGCTACAGTGGCCACTTCAGCGGCAGTTTTGATGCAAATTAAGAGAGCATTTCTCCTGATGATTTCTTATTTTGAAGAGAAATTTAACAAGCGCCGGGTTTCGTTTGAAGTTTCATCACCAATGAAGCGATTAAAACATCTAAAAGGAACTGCTTTAAATTAGAGCCTTAATTAAGCACGACTGTTAATTTCAGTTTCTTCGTTTATTGCTAAAAGGAGTTAAACAACTATCGGTTTTACAAAGTCAAGGAAACTGTTACATCGAGCGCTTTGACATTTCAAGGAACTACCTATCCAAAACACCCAGGGGGGGGGAAGGTGTCTCCAAGGAAATCTATGGTACAGTCTGCCTGCCAGTATGACGTCACGTCTCGTGTCAGTGACTGTCAAAATGGCAAGCTAAGTGTTCATCGAAGAGACGGATAAAAATTTCGATTTTATCACGGAAATACTGTTCCGATTTCTTGGATTTGGAGATTTTAAGGTTTCTATTGTCATAGAAAACTAGACTTAGGTACTTTTTTGAAATGAAATGTCCAGTAGTGTAATGAATTTTAGAGATTCCTTTCTATCGTCGAGCAAATTTTACAGGCAATCATACCGACCGGTCACACTTTTGACGGCCAGTACACAGCAAGATTGAGGAGTTTAGACACAGCAATAGGAGGTTCATGAAAGGATGTATTATACTTTACATTGTGCGTATTTTCAGCTCTTCAGAGCTAGTGGAACCCCATATCATTCCTCTCAAAGTTCGCTTAGCTGTAGCTTTCAAAGAGGAAGCTAAATGACAGGTATTTGTGAGAGACTGTGAGCATTGGATCTTCTTGCTTTACCGCATTTTAATACTGTATAGGGCATACACCTGTAATTTTGTAATTAAATCCCGTAAACCAATAAAAGTTTTCGTTTAATTATTTTTGGGGGCAAACCGAGTGGAGATTTTAGGGTAATAATATTGATGATTAAGACGATGTACAAAAGGCAACACCCACCACCTATTCTGGAGACTAGAACTTCCCCATTTTAGAGAAAAAGAAAAGATTTAAGTTTTAATGACCTTCCAGTCCCGTGAAATAGATAGCGATCCCGCAACACGGCCCGCAAAACAAATTAACAAAATTATACAATCACGAACACAAAATATCAAAACGGTTTACACAAGCAGATTATAGCAACACCAAAGCTCACACACATTCGATCAAATTAGCGATATATAGCGATATTTGCTAGCTTCTTAGATTTTCCTCGACCTCGCTCGTCCAAAATAACTGTCGTATCCCTTGCTAATATGCAATGGTTGAAAATTGAGGTGTTCCGTCCACACGGAACCACCTTAAACGAACGAAAATTTAGACGCCTCAGCCGTTCAAAAGAATATGAACGCCAAAATAGGGGTCAAACTTTTAGTTTTTACGGTAATTCAATTCAACTGTTTAATACTGTCAACAATTTGACCGGCGTGGTGTGAACACCATAACAGTCTAAATTATTGTACAGCAAAGGCGTGGTCAAGGATTTGCTTAATGAGCGCTCTGCACAAGGACAGATATTAAAACCACTGACAAAAGACAATATTTATTTGGTTTCTTAGTTCCGTGTGAACAGAGCGAAAATATTGAACGGCTCCTTGTGGGCACCCAGGGACTAAATAGAGGAGATATGGTGCTTAATAAAATATCTAAGTTGTTCTTGGCTGAAGAGGTGTTCGCCAAAATACGTTACGAAATAGCCCACGTTCGGTATATTAAAATTCTAGCATGTCTCCAAGGCTTTCTGGTCATATTTCTATATTTGGTGTGGTTTTCGTTGTGCTCAAGTCTTTCCAGGTAATTTAAAGACAATGACGTCGTGAAAAATTTGCAATTTTGTCCCTAAAGCCTTAGCCTACCACGCAGGCGTTCTTAGGGGAGCTCAAGGGAGGCTACTAAAGCCTCAGAGTCATGTTAGAATTTTAGTCTAACAGATCAAACTTTGGCTATTGTTGAGAACCATTCATGTCCGATAACACATATGGCCTAAAAACCTCTCGAAGAAGTAAATATCTAGCACCGTATCCGAACCGTGCCAAGAAGGAAAGTGACTAGTACAGGAGTGCATACTATTTTTACACTGCTTTCTATTCCAGAATTTTGCCATGTTTGTGTATACTCTCGACGGTGTATAAAGACTTTGGTTATGAAGTTGTTTGTACAATTCACAAGCACAGCGGGTTCGAATGCGTTAACACTGTGTCTTCCAACACAAATATTCTTCGTATGCGGTGTCGTTGCCCGCAAGATATTGCAGATACTCTGCAAGCTTCCTTGGAGAGGCAAAAGTTAAAGTTTTATTTTTTTCCACAAAAGTGTTTATATTTCCTTATGTTTATCACCGCTGTATGCTTTTTGTTTCTTCTTAAAAACCAAATTAAAAGTATCTATGATTTTAAAATGTTTTGTTTCCGTCAGATGTATCTTAATCCTAGCTGTTTCGCCTAACGAACAATTAAAGACCAGCTGTCATTTTCCTCGTTATGTTTATAACTCTAACGTCCAGTTCAAAAGTTGATCTTTCATGTACTGAACCTAATCTCTTCAATCAAGTGGATGAAGAGATCGAAGTTTGAATCAATAAAGTGCGACATGTCTAATTTGGGTCGACACATGAAATAAGATCGAGTGGCCAACTCGGGAGTTTCGACTGTGGAGCGACTTCGTTTCAAAGTGAAAAAACGTCGAACTTCTCATGTGCCGAACCTAATGCATAAATTACTAAAATTCATTTTCAGTTGTAAGCATTTTAAACCATTGAACATCGTGAAAAGGAATTGAGCCCGACTAGTCAAGTTTGACGTCTGAATCAACTGTCGAACTTGTGTTATTTGTATAGGTAATCACATGATTTTCGAGTGCAATTTGGAATAAATAAGCACGAGTAAATTTTTCGAAGACTAACAAAAGTGCACGAGCCCGTAGGGCGAGTGCACTTTGTGGTCTTTGAAAAATTTACAAGTGCTTATTTAATCCAAATTGCACGAGAAAAATCATGTGATTACTTATTAATAATCAATATACACGAAAAACATAACTACGACAACAAATTTTGACAGCGCGCGCGTTTTTAGTTCATTCAACTGATTGGCTGAAACAGACTACTACCTTTGTCAAATTCAAACTTTTTCAAGACCAACGCTTTCAAAATCATTCAGCTAAGAACTTGGAAATGTGCAAGGATTTTTTTATATGATCACCAGCCTGTTAAAGATAACTTGGTTTACAACAATCAGCAAAAGTAAGTGTTTTTAAATTCATCCTCGATTATGAGAGCTCGGCGTTTACAAGAAGCGTTTTCAAGAAGTATACTGCCGTTTTTAAATCAGGAGAACGCTTCGAGCAGCCAAAGATGAAAGACACTTGCTAAGGATTTTTAACGACTGTTTATCATTGTCTGTTCCTGAGACCCCATCATAGCTGGATTCATGGACAAATTTTTGAGATTTAAAACCCGAAAATGAAGGAGGCAATTTGTCTTCTTTCGACGCTACCATCGATGGGTGAGTGGAGCCACAGTTGTTGTGATGTCGGAAACTGTCAGTATTAATATAATATTTGCTTTTTCTCAGCGCTGGAGTTTTCATTATTTTATTTGGCCTAATGCAAGATTCATCGTAGCTCTTCTTCGTCGGCTTCATCGTAGTCGTTAAGGAAATTTATACCTCTGTGGCCTGTGACACTGAGGATATGTTCTGAACTCACAATCTTTGCTTTCTTCACCTGACTTCATGTTGTTTTTCTTGCACAATGATTCGTAAACTTTTTTCTCACTTTCTTTAAGGCTAGTACCAGCTACGGATACTTTTCATCGTGTGAGTTGTGGTATTTTCACCCATTGGTTTAGTTTGGACCAGAAGTTTAAATTTTCAGTTTCGTTTGCTACTGAGGCAGAAAAAAAACAGACCTTCACATGGATGTTTTAATAGAGGTTTTCGCTTCACAAAAGACTCAAAGAGAGCAACAAATAACGTACATGACTTGAAATCCCTGTTGTTATCATTGAATAATACTTGTTCATTTAAATGCCTGAAGAGTGTAGCTGTCATGGTTTACGTGTGGTTGCAACCGTTTTTGTTCTTTATTTTTTTTACTTTAGCGTAGTCTGTTATGAGTGGCTTTTTTTAGCTTCTCTGGCTCATTTTCCTAGATTTTGTCGACAGTATTTTTCTCTTAGCAACGCATTTTCAATACATTTAGCGAGAAAGACGTACTTTTTACCGTGTTCGGGCTTTTTTGGAATATTTTTGTTAACTTCTCTATTGTTGTTTTGCTTACCAAATTTAATCCCGTCGTCGTCTGCTGAAAACCATGGCCATTTTCTTGAGTCTGTGTTGTTAAAACAGCTCTAATCTGATTGGTTCTTGTTGGTTTCTTTTGTGTTTTCGGCCAATCAGAAAGCATTTGTAATTTGCACTCGTGTTACAAGTTTGCACTCGTGTTACACATTTTGCACCCGTGTTACAGAAGAGCTGCACTCCTTTCTCAGCCAATCAGAATTGAGTAATTTTTTCGTGTATATTATTAAGGTCTAAAAAGGGTAATTACATTCGGTACATGAAAAGATCGACCTTTGCACTGGGCCTAAATTAATCAGCTATACTCCAACAAATTTTACCACTTGCTAATAAGACTACTAATGATGACTATTTAACTTGAAATATATTTCTTTTCCATCTATTAATTTACAGTCTACGTGATGCGTGAATATTGCTTGAAATAATGATAGGACCTTATAGATCCCTTCAGCCCCTACTATTTGCATTCTTTTTATTCGCCTCTTTTTCGTACATAAAGGACGCGTTAGGTTTCCAGACACTGATCGACAGCAAAGTTCCTAAACTCGAGAACCATTTGCTCTAGGATTTAGCATCTATACTGTTCAAATATCATATGAGACATCTGATCGACATGTATGTTGAATCAGCCGCAAATCCTTTCAGAATCAACTCTGTTTTTCACTCAACGCATGTCACTTAAAATTTGCCTATTCGCTAATAAACAAGTGCATGATTTTCACAAAGCATCTTTAAGCTGAACTTATTTCCCACGGTAAAAACAACAGCTAGCATAATTTCTTAAAGATTACCTAGTTTAGGAGATAAAACGACTTCTGCAATCAATCTAATTCTCCCAACATCTCTTAGTATCTCTAATTTCAGGGGCACCCAACGGCGGTTTCTTCCAAAATACGTTGAAAACACTTTTTAGGCTATCCAGAGTACTTTTAGATCTCTGTTCGATCATCCTAGAGGAACTTAAGTCTTTTCCAAATTACAAGGACTTCATGGTTATTTTGCCGCAAACTTTAGGTGCAATTCAACATTTTACGAAAGTGAAAATTTTTCTGATTCCTCTCTCTAACACATTTTAGAATCCGAACATTTTAGGTTTCCCTTTTCTAAGATATTGTGACCTGGGTATTAAAAAATGAAAAATTTAACTGCAGAAAATCGTAGGGAATTAATTAGATTCAGCTTCGAAAATTGTACATGAATCGAACATTCATCTAGAAATTTTTAGCCGTCCGGAAGCAAAAGAAAATTCTAGACAATATTTGCTTCTCCGAACAGCTGTTTTACAGAAAACAGTCGTTGTATGCCCCTTTAATTTTATCAACGTCTAAAACCAGCTCCTCACTAACGAGGAAAGCACAAGCTTAAGCATAAGCATAATCCAAACATAAGTTAGGCCCGGTTGAAACGCCGCTCCACTCATGTGCCGAACCTAATTGAATTAGGCCCGACTTTGGAGCAACATTGGCGTACAGTAAAGACTAAGCCCGTTAATAGGGAGCTCAAGCAGCAAGGACGGCGACGGCTACGAAAACGTCACTTAAAAAGTGAATTCCGGCTGCTTCAAACTTTATCGCGCTTACTACATCTCGTTTACTTCGTCAAATGTTGGCAAATGTTTTTGGAGTTGAATTCTAAAGGACTGTATCAAAGTTCAGGAAAAGAAAAACAAAGTTGTTGCCTTGCGTTCCCGTCCTCGACAAAACGTGAATTTAGGCACTTTCACGTTGTAGTCGTCCAACGACGGCTAAGAAATGAACAAAAAAAAAAGTGATCCACGCGCAAAGTTGTTGTTTTGCTAATCTAAACCCATTGCTTTTTTGCCGTTCTCGTTGCCGTCGCCGTCCTCGTTGCATAAGCTCCCTAATATAAGGACACTGAGGCGGCCAAAGAAAGTGTCTGTATAAAGCGGGTTGAGTTTAGAAAAAATGTGAGGGCTTACTTTCACCATGGACAAGGAATACGGTCCCTAATAAAGAGATGTCACTCCACATTAAGCGGGTTTCCGTAACACGGGGGCTCGACTATATAAGCATGAGCATAAGAGGCTTTATGCAGAAGGAGGTGAGAAAGGCGGCGATATATATAAGCATAAGAGTAGGAAGGACGCAAGGTTATATAAGCACTTATCAGTGCTTATATCAAGTCCATCCTCCTTAATAACGCAGCAATGCTTGCGTCGCCAGGGAAGACAAGACTTTTAAATAAAGCTAAAACTTTTCATGGCTTGCAGTGAGTAAAGTAATAGATCATGATTGGTCACTATACGTTCAATACTCAGTTTTTTAACCTGATGATATTCGTGGCGCTAAGTTAGATAACGTGCGCTGAAGGGCTGTATTCCCTTTTTTTCTGATTTACAGAAAAAAATGTTCGCAGTTGATCGCAGTCTAGCTTTAAAATAAAATCAGTCATGGTAAATATTTAAAAGATGTTTTGAGTTGACTCTCAGCATGAATCACGTTGGCCAATTTTACTTTCATCCTACCTTAGAGGTGAAAAATAATGTAACCACTGTTTAAAAAAACAGAGAGATTAAAATTATTAAATTGTGACTTTGATTGTTGCCACACCTTTGAATTGTTGATCGTAAAGTTTTAATTTCTCAAGTCACAATCTCCGTCCACAATCTCTTCTGATCGTCTTCTCTCAAGATGGCCAACAGCTGGGATTCTTTGTTCCACTAAACTAGGAGATGCTAGAATATTTAACGCTAATGTGTTAACAGTGTGGTTCCTAAGGCGAAATCTCTGACAAATCCATCCCCCAATTAAACGTAAAACTTGCCTGTACTGTGGTATTCTCCAAGCGTAGAGAAACGGGTTCAATGCACAGCTAACACACAACAGCGGTACGGAGAGGGCTTTAGTAAGCAAAAACCCTGGCTCGCTGCATTCACCGCTGAGCCCTTCTTGGCAGCGTTCTTGTAAATTTGTCACGATTAGATACGGCAATAGAGATATGAAGAGCACAATGATAATTAAAACAACAGTAGAAACAATCTTTTTCTCCAACCTAATGTTTCGAAGAAAAATGCGCGACCGTCCCCCTGTGTTTTCTCGCACAAAAACAACGTTTCTTGAATAACGGCGAAATTCCTTGTAAGTCGCGGTGTATAGGGCACACATGATAGTCAATGGAATAGTCGTTTGAAGATGAAGATCAATTACGTGGAATACTTCCTTATTTTCATCCAAAGAATGAGAAGTTTCAAAGGTAATGCAGAAAATCCAGACTAAAGTGTTACAAACAATTGCTTTTCGCACTGTTATAAGTCTTTTATACCTCACTGAAAGCTTGACAGCTAAACATCTATCCAGCGATAGCGCAACTACTGTAAAAATTGATATCTTTGTGGTTACATGGCTGAAAATAAGTGCGATTTCATAGAGTTTCTGCGGTTGGCCTCCGGTAGAGATGGTAAACATAGACGCAGCATACATTGACTGCACAAGACAGCCTCCTAGAAGATCGCTTAAAGAAAGACTACTGATAAAGTACGTGGTCGCGCGAGCTCGAAAATAATTGTACGGATCTTTGAATACTGTAAATAGAAGAAGGCCGTTTGTTAAGGCTGCAAATAAACCAAATAGTGAGCTACAAATTCCTGCTACCATTGCAAATGTGGCAGTCGGTAAACCTTTAACATGGTCATGTTCATCGACTTCTTCGTTCATAATTATAACAAAGTGAAGCACTGTATGCTTACCGGAGACACTCTTTAACTCACAGATTACTGCTTAAGACTAATGAATCGCCTTGGATGCATGAATAGTTAATTCGTCCTAGGGGAAAATAACGCCGATGATGGAAGTTGTTATTTTGCAGTACTTATGTCTTAATGACAAAAGTTACGTCCATATGACAGAGAAATAATCAAACTCTACCACCAGGAAATTAACAAGCACTGTCAGATAATGTCAATAAACTAATTGGTGAAGGCAAAATTTCATAACAAAATCTCAGTTTAAAATTGCTCTAATCATTTGGCCATCTCGCAAACGTTTAATGACGTTATTACTGAAGAATAAGACTAATAAGACTACTAGTGATGACTATTTAACTTCAAATACTTCTTTTCCATCTATTAATTTACAGTCTACGTGATGAGGGAATATTGCTTGAAATAATAGGAACTTTTAGATCCCTTCAATCCCTACTATTTCCATTCTTTTTATTCGCCTCTTTTTCGTATATAATGAAGGACGCATTAGGTTTCCAGACACTGATCGACAGCAAAGTTCCGGAACTCAAGAACCATTTGCTCTCAGATTTAGCAGCTATATTGTTCAAATGTCATATGAGACATCTGATGTACATGTATGTTGAATCAGCCAAATCCTTTCAGAATCAATTCATCTGTTTTTCACTCAACGCATGTCACTTAAAATTTGCCTATTCGCTAATAAACAAGTGCATGATTTTTACAAAGCATCTTTAAGCTGAATTAATTTCCCACGGTACAAATAACAGCAAAATTTCTGAAAGATCAACCTAGTTTAGGAGATAAAACGACTTCAATGACACGGTCTTATCAGATCGACCCGGTTTTTAATTCTCCCAATATCTTTATACTAATTTTAGAGGCACCCATCGGCGCTTTCTTCCAAAATACATTGAAAACACTTTTTAGGCTATCAAGAGCACTTTTAGATATCTCAAAATGCATTCTAAGCGGCGCTACAAAATTTTTATCTGTTCTGTCATCTTAAGGGAACTTAAGTCTTTTCGAAATTACAAGGACTTCAGTGTTATTTTTCCGGAATTTTAAGTGCAATTTAACGTTTTACGAAAGTGAAAATTTTTCTAATTCCTGACTCTCTATCACATTTTAGAATCCGAAAATTTTAGGTTTCCCTTTTCTAAGATAGTGTAACCTGGGTTGTAAAATATGAAAAATTAAACTGCAGAAAATCGTAGGGACTTTATTAGACCGAAACTTGTACATGAATGGAACGTTCGTCTACTGAGAAATTTTAAGCCGTCCCGTAGCAAAAGAAGATTTTAGGCAATATTTGCTTCTCCGAACAGATGTTTTACAGAAAACAGTCGTTGGGTGCCCCTTTTATTTTATCAAAGTCTAAAACCAGCTCCTCACTAACGACAAAAGCACAAGCTTAAGCATAAGCATAATCCAAACATAAGTTAGGCCCGGTTCAGACGCAGCTCCACTCATGTACCGAACCTAATTGAATTAGGCCCGACTTTAGAGCAACATTGGGACACAATTCAGTCTGAGCCCGTTAATAGCAACAACGACGGCGACGTCTACGAAAACGTCACTTAAAAAGTGAATTTTGCGCTGCTTCAAACTTTATCGAGCTTACTACATGTACATCTCGCTTACTTCGTTAAGTGTTGGCAAATGTTTTTGGAGTTGCCTTGTGTTCCTGTCCTCGACAAAACGTGAATTTAGGCACTTTCACGTTGTAGTCGTGCAACGACGGCTAAGAAATGTACAAAGAAAACGTGATGCACGCGCAAAGTTGTTGTTTTGCTAATCTAAACCTATTGCATTTTTGCCGTCCTTGTTGCTTCAGAGCCGTAATGGACACTGAGGGGGCCAAAGAAAGTGTCCGTATTAAGCGGGTTGAATTTAGAGAAAATGTGAGGGCTTACTTTCACCAGGGACAAGGAATACGGTCCGTAATAAAGAGGTGTCCCTCCGTATTAAGCGGGTGTCCGTAACACGGGGTTAAACTATATAAGTATTAGCATAACAAGCTTTGAGCTTGGTGAGAAAGGCCGTGATATATATATAAGCATAGTAGTAGGAAGAACGCAAGGTTTTGATATTCTTGAGTTGAAACTTATCGGTGCTTATATCAAGGCCATCTTCCTTAATACCGAATGCAATGCTTGCGTCGCCAGTGAAGACCAGGCTTTTATATAAAGCCAAAAGTTCTGATGCCTTGCATTGAGTAAAGTAATAGATCATGATTGGTCACTATACGTTCAATACTCAGTTTTTTAACCTAATGATATTCATGGCGCTAAGTTAAATAACCTGCGATCAAGGGTTGTATTCCTATTTTTCTGATTTACAGAAAGAAATGTTTGCAGATGATCGCAGCCTACCTTTAAAATGGAAGCAGTGATGGTAAATATTTAAAGGATGTTTTGAGTTGACGGCAGCATGGGGCACGTTAGCCAATTTTGCTTTCATCCTAGCTTAAAGGTGAAAAATAATGTAACAACAGTTTAAAAATTTGAGAGAAAATAATTCTTAAATTTTGACTTTGATTGTTGCCACAGCTTGGAATTACTGATCGTGAAGTTTTAATTTCTCAAGTCACAATCGCCGTTTACAATCTATTCTGATCGTCCTTCTCCGAGATGGCCAACATCTGGGATTTTTTGTTCGACTAAACTGGCAGACGCTAGTACCGACGGAATATTCAACTCTAATGTGTTAACAGTGTGGCTCCTAAGGCGAAATCTCTGACAAATCCATCCACCAAATAAACGTAGAACTTGCCTGTATTGTGGTATTCTCCAAGCGTAGAGAAACGGGTTCAAAGCACAGCTAACACACAACAGCGGTACGGAGAGGGCTTTAGTAAGCAAAAACCCTGGCTCGCCGCATTCACTGCTAAGCTCTTCATGGCAGCATTCTTGTAAATTTGTCACGATTACATTCGGCAGTAGAGATATGAAGAGCACAATGATAATTAAAACAACAGTAAAAACAATCTTTTTCTCCAACCTAATGTTTCGAAGAAAAATGCGTGGCCGTCCGCCTGTGTTTGCTCGAACAAAAACAACGTTTCTTGAATAACGGCGAAATTCCGTGTAACTCGCGGTGTATAGGGCACACATGATAGTCAATGGAATAGTCGTTTGAAGGTGAAGATCAATTACGTGGAACACTTCCCTATTTTCATCCAAAGAATGAGAAGTTGCAAAGGTAATGCAGAAAATCCAGATTAAAGAATTACAAACAATTACTTTTCGCACTGTTACAAGTCTTTTATACCTCACTGAAAGCTGGACAGCTAAAAATCTATCCAGCGATAGTGCAACTACTGTAAGAATTGATATCTTTGTGGTTACATGGCTGAAAATAAGTGCGATTTCATAGAGTTTCTGCGGTTGGCCTCCGGTAGAGATGGTATACATAGACGCACCATACATTGACTGCACAAGACAGCTTCCTAAAAGATCACTTAAAGAAAGACTAACGATAAAGTACGTGGTCGCGCGAGCTCGAAAATAATTGTACGGATCTTTGAATACTGTAAATAGAAGAAGGCCGTTTGTTAAGGCTGCAAATAAACCAAATAGTGAGCTACAAATTCCTGCTGCCAGTGCAAATGTCGCAGTCGGTAAACCCTCAACATGGTCATGTTCATCGACTTTTTCGCTCATAATTATAACAAAGTGAAGCACTCTTTGCTTACCGGAGACACTCTTTAACTCACAGATTACTGCTTAAGACTAATGAATCGCCTTGGATGCATGAATAGTTAATGCGTACTAGGAGAAAATAACGCCGATAATGGAAGTTGTAATTTTGCAGTAGTTATGTCTTAGGGCCTGTTTACATGGAGTGGGGGACCCCGGTCTAGTGGGGTAGGTTTCTTTTGTTTTTGTGTCCCCCAGAGCGTGAAAACAAAAGAAACCAACCCCGCTAGACATGGGTACCCCACTCCATGTAAACAGGCCCTTAATGACAAACGTTACGTCCGCGTGACAAAGAAGTGATCAAACTCTACCGCCACGAAATTAACAAGCATTGTCAGATAACGTCAATAAACTAACTGGTGAAGGCAAAAACTTTCATAACAAAATCTCAATTTAAAATTGCTCTGACCATTTGGCCATCTCGCAAACGTTTAATGACGTTATCACTGAAGACTCAGAAATGCTATTCCGAAAAGATTGATTAGAAAATGTTCACTAATTCGAAAGCAGATGAATCGTTAAACAACAAAGAAATTGGCTTTTGTTTGTTCAAAACATAGGATTTGCAAAGCAACATCGGGTGCAGTGTGAGAAATTTGAATATTTCCGCGGAAACCATGTATTCTTGTTTGCAGTTAGCATTGTTAATATTTGATGGTTGAAGAGCAAACTTACGCTTAAAATCGACGCAAAAAAACGAGAGAATCTCTTTTGTTTTACGGAATGACGTAATGAAATAAGATACTTAGAAATATTTCTGTATAAAATGAAAAAGCTCTCTGCTACATAACTCGTAACTAATGGATTAAAAAGGTCGTTAAATAGGCCTTCAAGTCGGAAAATAAAATCCGGAGCTTTTAAAAATATGACAAAGTTTTAAATAAGATTAAGACTAGAAATGAGATTGTAAATGAAATAAGAAAATGTGCATGAAGAGTGTCGATGGGTTTTGCCGACTCTTTTCATTAACAATACTGCCTTAACAAATATTTGACCATATATCATTTCCACCTTCCGGTGATTACATTAACATCCGACACAGCTGTGACCAATAAATACTGATTGATCGTCTGGATATTTTGACTGACAGACAATATCGTTTGCAATCTTACTGCTACAGTGGTCACTTCAGAGGCAGTTTTGATGCAAATTAAGAGAACATTTCTCCTGATGATTTCTTATTTAGAAGAGAAATTTAACAAGAGCCGGGTTTTGTTTGACGTTTCATCACCAATGCAGCGATTAAAACATCTTAAAAGGAACTGCTTTAAATTAGAGCATTAATTAAGCACCACTGTTAATTTCAGTTTCTCCGTTTATTGCTAAAAAGAGTTAAGCAACTATCGGTTGACAAAGTCACGGAAACTGTTACATCGAGCGCTTTGACATTACAAGGAAATAGTTACCCACCAAGAGCCATAATGGGACAGAGACGGAAACGCCCAGTCTAGTCCTTGGGATATGTGAATTTCACCAAAGTTATTTTTAGACTAATTAAACGCTTGAATCAATCGGAAATTGGTTTCCTGAGAGGTCTGCAAACTTTTATTCAGGGCTGTCAAGAAATAGTGGCTTCCCGCGTGGAGGTGTAAACAAAGGAAATGGTTTTCTCTTGGAAATTTGTCCCGATTAGTAGCTACGTTCCACGATTTCGTTGGAAATGATTGATTTGCTAGATGATGTATCAGTTTATTAGGAGGAATTGAAGTCCGCTGACAGCGATCCCATGAAATTTCAATTTCGGTACTGGAACCTCGGCAGGAAGAGAGAAACAACAGCAAAAGGCAAACAGAGGAGTGCGAATAATCGTCGCACAAAACAATCCAAGCAGCCAAAGGTCAATTTCAGTGAAGCGACGTCGACGCGCAATTCGAACGAAAAGGCTAAAATGCAAGCAAATCACGGCAGAAATCAAAACTGGAAAGCAGCAGAGGTGCTAACAAAAAAAGCCGGACTAGAAAGTAAACCCACGTGTATGAACTTCGTATCAGAACAGCTCTAACAATAAGTCATGAAAAATTTGGAAACCAATCGAAAGCTAATGGCTAATCAAAGAAATATTCGACGCTCAGAACATTATATCTAAAACTTGTTTCTTCAGTGGCAGAGGGCGCAAACAAAACCCGTCAAGTGCATTTGACATTCGAGGTTGTGGGCCCAGCGTGTCAAACCATTGCAGGAAACCATCACATTCGCGGACAAAAGAAAGTCGCTTTTAGTTATTCAATCCAGGAGGCACTTTGGAGTAAATTAAACAACCTAAAAGCTTATTTAGCCGCAACAAAGAGCGTTAATTTTGGATCAGAGGGCCAATCCTGCCAACCAGAAACAAAACCCACCGAAAATCAATATGCGTGTCATGACCTCTCAGTGTGAAACAAGCGGGAAAAATCACAATTGTTAAATCAAAACTTAGAACCCTCCAGAGTCTTACGCGGGTAATCTTTTGGAGGACGGGTAGCTTGCAAACTAAACTGAACGCAGGATTGTCGGAACAGCAACAAGAAGATTTATTCCAAAAATGAACGTAGTTTCCATGAAGTAAGACTCCACAACAGAACCTAACTCGATAAACTTTCCTAATTGTTAGCTAATGTACAACAGGGTTAGTCCGGTGTCTCTCAGGTTACTCTTCTACTCGACTAAGATAATCCGCTCCAACATTCTCTGATCCTTTAATGGCTTCCACCTTGAAATTGTAACTTTGCAGCAACATCGCCCATCGCATGAGTCGTGCGTTCGTATATTTTGCACTGTCCATGTACTTCAGCAGCTCGTGGTCTGTCTGCAGCACAAAAGGTAGAACTTACAAATATAGATGAAATCTCTTGATTCCCCATACAGTCACTAGGCACTCTTTCTCGATGGTAGAGTAGTTGCGCTCCGCACTTGACAATTTGCCTTTGCATCAATACTGCACCAATTCCATTGTTAGAAGCGTCCGTCCGTAAGAAATAGGTTTTAGCTGGATCGGGGAGACGTAAAATAGGTTCACGTGTTAGGTAGGACTTGATTGTTTGGTAGGCTTTCTCTTGTGCTTCACCTCACTCAACTTTATGGGGTTGGCCTTTCCGTGTGACATCAGATAAGGGAGCTGCGATCTTTACGAAGCTGGGAATGAAATCTGTGTAGTATCCTGCTAGACCCATAAATGACCGCACTTTTTTTTTGTGCTTGGCCATAAGGCATCTTTAATTTTCTCCACGTTATCCTGATGTAGACCAATCATTCCTTGCTCCAGTCGATGGCCCAGGAAATCCACACTGTTTACTTCGAATAGGCACTTCGTAGGTCTAATAGTCAACCCAGCTTGTTCAAGGCGCGAAAACAGCTCTCTGAGGACTCTAATGTGTTCTTCCCACGTACGGGTATGAACCAATATATCATCCCAGTAAAAGTCGACATCATCTACATCTTCTATCAATTTCTTCATTGCACGCTTCAGTGTTGCCGCCGAGTTAATCATTCCAAACGGCATCTTCAAGAACTCGTACGACCCGTCAGGTATTACAAACGCGGTTTTCGGTATGTCCTCCTCTGGTATACTTATCCGCCAATATCCCTTGCTAAGGTCAATTTTTGAAAAGAATTTGTCTCCGCTAAGCTTCTGGAACAAGTGTTCAGCAGTTGGCATAGGCAATTTAGCACTTTTTACATTTTTACATATTTTATCTCATTTTAGCGTTCACCACATTTTTATCCATTATAACTTGTTTTTAACTTATTTATGCTAATTTAGAGAACTTTTATACACTTGAAAATGACCTCGGAGAGGTCGAAACGTCGTGATTTTTTATCGCTAATATTTATCTCAAAATCGATTTCTAAGAAACTACTTATTAAATTTATCTGGTAAAGAAAAAATGGGGCTGACAAAATATGGAGACTTTCCAAGCTTGGAGTAATGCTTAGAAATATGACGTGAAACTGAATATATATCAAAGAAAAATTTAAGCATCTTTTAAAAAGATCGTTATATCTACGTCAGAACGTCATCATTTGTGTTCTGTGGTGGTTACTGTTGTGTATTAGGACCCAGACTCGCCCTCAGTAGGGCATTGGAAAGCCTGACTATAGGATTAAGGACCACGAGTCGTGTAGGCGGAATAAAGCCATCGTCTAAGGTTGAATCCGTCGTAATCCTTCCTTATTTGCCGACTAGATCGGTCACACCATTGGCGACGAGGGTAAAACAAGAACCCAAGAAGTCAGCGAGACGAAAAAATCGCGGGAAACATGGACGAAAATGAACGAAACCATATCAAAACATTCGACTGTCATGGGGACCAAAACACGCTTGGCTTGCGATGGAAGCGGTTGCTGATGGCGTTCGAACTATTTGCAGTCGGCAAAGGCTTAATTCTAAATGAAAACAACGAGAACAACAGGCAGAGAAGAGGTGCATTAATGCTCCATCTCGCGGGACCCGATGTTCAAGATCTTTTCCTTACCCTACCGAACACGGCAGATGTGAAAGATTACCGGAAAGCATACTTTGCTCCCAAAGTGGACTCCACGTATGCTAGACACTGTTTCAGACAGCTAGTTCAAGCACCAGGGGAAACAATCCGACCGTTTGCAACCAGACTCAGACGAGCATCGAAAGATTGTGACTATGGCGAAGACACAGGCAACCAAATTCGTGATGGAATCCTCTGCAAGTGCACCAGCACGTGCATAAAACGAAAACTCCTGGAATAACGTCAAGGCCTCACTTTATCTAAAGCGCTTGAAATCGCCGAGCACTAACATCCTTGACAAAGAAACATGGGAGTGGTTGAAGAAAAACAAAGTGAAGTGTGAATCAGCTCGCTCGAGTAGGAAACTCTATGCCTACGCATCCCAGACACCACTTGATGTGATAGGAACACTCTCCTGTGAATTCTCTGCAGGAAGCAACACTGCTAGTGCCAAGTTTTGTGTGATCAATGGTGAAGGAGCCCCCCTTCTCGGGAAGGGCACTG